CGAGTTTTGTTCAACAATGACGTCGAATTACGGGCTCGGTTGGACGACTTTTTCGAGACTCTTTTGAGCGAGGCATCAAAAACTCGTTAAACGTTGTGAGGAAGTCGTAAACAGCAACGAGAAAAACATTGATTAAATTGTTTTTAATGTCCAAAAAAAGTTATAAAATTTAGAAAAAAATGCGAGAACTTGTGCATTAACCCAATATTATATCTCGCAAAATTTCATTTAAAATTACGTAAGCAAAAAAATAAAATTTAAGTAACATTCACTAAGACTAAATTGACAGCCCCAACAGTGACCATTATTCTAAGGCAGTGTTTCCCAAAGTGTGGTACGCGTACCCCCAGGGGTACGGGAGCAGTTTAGCGGGGGTACGCGTTCTCATGCGAAATATCTTGCAGCAAACGAAAATTTCAAAATTTTTTATTTAAAAACAAATCTAACCATGAAAATTTACAATTACGTATCTTTGTATTAGCTATTTTTTGATGAGTTAACAGTTAATAATGAGTGGTGTCAACAGCCAGTTGCGATTTTTAACTTTCGTGCGATTTTTTTATCACAGCAAAAACAATATCACCCTTCTCACTGATGCAAATAACAGAAACTCTGAAATAAACTTAACAAAACTTTGTACCAAAGAAAAAGAAACATATTTTTAAAAAAATACATCCATTTTTTTTTATCGGCGGTACACAGCGTTGCGAAAAAATTAGAAAGGGTACACAAAATTCATAAGTTTGGAAAACACTGTTCTAAGGCCATAATGGCCAAAGGATGGCAAAATCGTAAGGCTCACTATGCATTTAGATAAATTGTATAGAATTTCGTAACTTCAGAACCAATTATGGTACTATTTTGTCGACAAATATAATTATGGTAAATTTATATTCTTACCACATTAAATGTGAGCATTCTAAGGTACTCGTAAACTGAAGCTTTGAGCCTAATTGACAAAGGTTAATAAGTTCTTAAGTGAAATTTATTAGCAACCTGAAATTTTTAAATCGACAAAAGGGAATAGTTTCAGTCACCAATCCTAAATAGTTTAAAATTTTTTAATTACATTGTTTGGAAGTGAAATTTGGAATTTAAATTTATTTCTCACTGGTTAAGCCACTGTTATAAATTTAGCTGCTGACGATTTATTTCTCAAATATTTAATATATTTGCTTGCTAACAGTGTATATTGAAAAACTTTGTTAATTGCCTATTTTTTAAATATCTCGAATCATTGCGTGAGGCAAACTCAAAAATGGACTGAGGAAACGAGACTATCTGAATCCACGACGTTAAGTCACGCTTTTGAAAGCGCATTTATTAATCTAAATAGTTTAAAATCGAAGCTAATTGAAATAAAAAGAATTTTTGTAATTACAAGCAAAATTAATGGAGGAAAGATACTTATTTACCTACGAAATTTGAAATAACTTAGTTTGGGAACGCATAATTTTTGCATATTATGTCAAAAAATTTAATTTAAAATAGAACGAGCGATTTACGAAGAAAAATTCACCGAAACATTTGTAGTTTTTCGTTATTGAATTTATCTTTATTCTTGAAATGTTTAACAAGTGGTACTAACAAAAATTAAAAAAATTAAATATCCTTATTTTCTAGAGTATAATACAGGGTGTTTATAAATTCCCGAACCCATTTTGATGTTTAATAACTCATAAAATAATGAAGATATAAACAAACTTATCGCATTTATTGATGGAATGACTCATTTTCAGGTTTGAATATTTTTACTTTTGTAAATATCGTCTGCGCGTGTGGTTAATTTCAGAAAATTTCATTTTCCAGTTAAATATCTGTACTTTTCTAAATATAGTCTACTTATTAATTGAATTTTCCTCTTTTGTTTTTGGCAACTATTACAATGTTATGTTTGCTTTTGATGTGTTTGTTCTATGTAGTACTTTTCTGTGTGATGTTTTATTCGAGCAGATATGAAGGAGAGTGCATACACCACAAGAGAAAGCACAGATTTTATGGTGGTTCATAGAAACGAAAAAGATCGTGCAGGCACAGATAAATTGCAGAAGAATTTACCAAAAAGATCCTCCATCCAAAAGCAGCATCTTGCGATAGAAAAAGAATTTTCTAAAAACTGGAAGTATCGCAGATAAGAAAAGTTCCAGACGTCCCTGCACAAGTGATTTTGACGTTACGCGTGTCAGACAGACATTTTTAGACAATCCTTGAAGATCTGTGAGATCAGCGGCAAGAGAATTGGATATGTCAATTTCGACGGTGCACAAGGTTATTAAGAAAAAATTAAGACTACATGCATATAAAGTTCAAATTGTTCAAGGTTTGGAAACTGATGATAGGCCTAGGAGGATGGCATTTGCAACAGATAAAGTAGGAAGGATAGAAGATGCTGATTTTCTGAAGCGCATAATGTTCTCCGACGAAGCATCTTTTCATGTTTCTGGCATTGTTGATCGCCATAATGTGCGCATATGGGGATCTGAAAACCCCCATGAGACACAAAGGGATTCCCCAAAGGTTAATGTGTGGTGTGGACTAATGCACAACCGAGTCATTGGGCCTTTCTTTTTTACAGAAAAGACGGTCTCATCAGTCGTATACTTAGACATGTTGGAAAACTTCATGTTTCCACAACTAGAAGAGCTTTAGCCACGTGTATTTTTGCAACAAGATGGTGCACCACCTCATGGGGGTATCATCGTTCGTAGTTCCTTGAATGACCTTTTTCCAGGATGATTGGAGGCCCAATTCCTTGGCCACCTAAATCACCCGATATAACCCCGCTGGAATTTTTTCTTTAGAGATTTATATAGGACAATGTTTACAGGAGGATCGTGTCGAACATTGATGACCTAAAAGCCAGAATTACAACCGCAATAGCCTCTGTGGATGCAGACATGCTTGCCGCTACCTGGCCTGAAATTGACTATCGACTTGATATTTTGCATGCGACGAAGGGGGCACACGTGGAAGTTCATTGACAAGGGTCATGAAACTTTGAGTCTATCAAACCATTTATGTTATTAATTTTAATCGATCTTTATTATTTTATGAGTTATTAAANTCGTAAACGCAAAAATTGGGTCGACTGTTCAACGGCGGTCATAAAATAAAATAAAATATTTTTAGAATAGTAAAACCAATTTAACATTTGACACAGGGCCGTGGGACAACTTCGTTCATTTTTAAATGGTAAACTATTATCTTACCTAGTTATTCGCATGGCTACCTTCAGGTGCCTTCTAAAAATACCAATTGAAGTGCTTTATTTACATAAATGTGGATAATAGTAAAGTTAACGTTTGTCAAAGAGGGAGGGGGACTATTTTCACTAACTAGTTCTCCATTTTGTAATTATTCATTCAGCTTATTTCTAGTTTTAATCACATAATTTATAAACTTTTATTTATCGGTTCATGTTTAATACCAAGTCTTTACAATACGAATTTTTTTTTCAAATTCCAATTTCAAAAAATGGTTTTAACAATTAATTTTATGTAAAATGCTAAATTAATTTAAAATTAATCTCAATCCCAGAATTACATTAACATGAGAAAGTAAAAAAAGGCCATATAAAAGGTTCTAGTATAAAAACCCGACCTCAATAGTGAACAGGAAATTAAAGTTAAGAACGGAACAATCAAAATCGCTCGCTTTGTTTTCAATGCACCCTTACAGCAAGCCTAGACAGACGGGCTTAGTGGGTCTGTATGGTTGTAGGATTGGGCACTAGGTGCGCTGGACCGCACACGCGTCTTCTGGGTGTCTACTTTGCGGTTTCCGTGACAGGGGTTTATGTCGTTCGGACCTCCAGTGGGGGATGCAGTTTTACGCAGTGGCCACGAAAAGCCGCAAACCCGCTTCGCAGGCCTGCTACACTCCAGAAAAGACTCGCGCTTTAGGCACCGCTTGGCACGGTCAAGAATAACCTTAAATATGGTAATCCTACCTATTAGTGCGTCATACCTTTTGTTGGTCTAGGACAGGGGTGGGCAAACTTTTTTGGTCGAGGCCAAAAAATCGAGAAGTTTGGTGGGCCAAGTAAAAACATCTAAAATAAAAACTACATACTAGTTTTAATTTAAATATTTAATGGGATGAAATAAATTGCGATTTCAGTTTGAAGATCCTTATATTGAGGTTCCAAGTGAGATGTACTTATTTTAAGGCACAAGGCCAAATGTTTGTCTGTTAGTCTACTTGTGAAATGATTTTTACCAAGGTTCATAGTTGAAAACACTTGTTCACATATATAAATTGAAGCAAACATAGCACTCACTTTCTGAGCATGAAATATTAAATTTGTGAAACTGGCTTTTGGTAATGATTCGTAAAACTCATAATTTGGCATACTTAGAAACAATTGCTTCAGAGGGCGCCAATCTACGGCTACTCTATAAAGAACTTCTGCTTTCGCAGTTTTACCAATTGAAGCTTTCTGAGCCAACTATTTTAATCAATTTATGTTTTGTAGAACGAAAATAGGGAAAATAAAAGGTCATCAGTACTTTGTTAAAATCGAAATAGCAAAAATAACTTTAAACAAAGTAGACAAGAAAATTAATTGGCAAGTTAAAAATCAACCCCCTGACTGACCATACTAGGTGCATGGTTGATGTTGATTGCGAAGCTATTTTATTTGAGTTAACATTTTTTCCTGTCTGAAAGACATAACTTTAATCGAACTTAAAATTTATCACAATGTCGCTGAATTTTCTAGAAACTCAATTTTTTTTAGGATCGTAATGAATTTTTTATTTCGAAAGATGCAGAGCTGTTTGTGAAAGATGTATTAAACACTTAGATATTTTTCTTTAATATCTGTATATGACTTCATAACAATACTAAAACAGTTTTAAAGATTTCCTAATAGCTATCTAGTTTAATGAAGTGATTAAATTTCCAAGGTATTTAATACCTAATTTTTAAATAAAAGAACATGAGAGCAGCGACTTTGAAAAAAAATTGAAGAGTTTCTTTAGAGAAAAATTAAAAAAATATCGTTTCCTTCAATGTTTTATGCGAAAAAGCACAGTAGAACTCATTTTTTATACATTTATACTTTGAAATGTCATAATATTTCTATCATATCGATGCACTTATATGGATAAATTACACATTAATCATAGTCACATAGTTACGAAGGTCATATTGTATTCACAATGTTAATTTTCAATTCATTACTAAATACTTTTAAGTATGAATGTTCTAAATAACTTTCAATTAAAAGGGTGAAGAGATTTCAAAATAAATATGTTTAATATAAATTTTATTGCATACTATTAGTCAATTAACTTTATGATGTAGACCCAAGAATTCAATAACTGCTGCATTTTCTTCACTAATTACTGAAGTTTTATTCACAAATTGCAGAATAATTATGAACAATTTAATAAATTGGTAAACGTGGTTGGTTTATTACTGAACAATTGTTCCACTCATTTCAGTTTCTTCCATTTCTGAATGAAATACCAAGTAATTTTAAACTATTTTATTAGTTGGTTTAAATTTGGTATTCATTTTAGTGGGTTTTATTATGAAAATATCTTTAAAACTAAAAATTAAACCAAGAAAGTATTCAATTTTCATTTACATTGAGCTGTTGGAAAACAGGTTTTGAAATCTGAAAATTTTAAATTCTCAAATACAGCTTCAAATATAACATTTATTAGATATTTTTAATATTTCAGAATATACATGGTGCATCTCTAGATATCTATAAGACACAGAAGAAATGTTAGCTTTCTTTATAAGCTTTTACATAATATTAAAATTAGTATTGAACTAAATTACCTATATACTTTGTAATTGATGCAAATTGTATATGAATATTTGCACTTTTATCAATAGAGTCTAAACTGGCTATTCTCACTATTTGGAAGGAATTAATAAAATTTTTCAAAACCTGCAAGATTAGTCTTTTTATTAACACTTCACACAGAGGCAAGCTAAACCCCAAATTTACTATATTAAAGCATTTGGCTAATCCATGGCTTAAATCATGAATTATACAAAAAGAATAATATGACCTCAATATATCATAATCGAGCACTATTTATAAAACATTGTGGGAAGTAATTCTTTATTTTTTCATTCTGCATTTTGCAACACCAACATAATGCTTATTCAATTCAAATTTTGAGTTATAAATGCTATTTTAATAAACAATTATAAAAACAAATGAGAGATTAAGACTTAATGAGATATGAGAAAGTTATTTTCTTGAGAAAAATCGGGAATAAGATTAAGCAAAGTAAAAACACAAATCGAAACTCAGGAAATAAGATAAACATGTATATGCAAGATTTAAACTAAATGTAAAATTTTAGCTCGACAACCAATATACAAATCAACGAAAATAAAACTGAGAGGCTTTATTTTAAAACAATAAAGACAAGTATTATTCCTTTCCATTCGTCAAGAACCAATATAATGAAAATAGTAATGTAAAAAACAAACTTCCATATGCAAAAGTTCTATACAAAGTTTTTGTCAACATAAATTTATCAACTCATGTCATGTACTTTAATACTTTAGTAACATCAAAACAATCTGGAGGTTATAAACATGTTATTTATATCTAGAGTTCTTAATTGCTTTGCTTTTTCATAACAAAAACAATACAAATTATTTCCAATTGAACCCTAATTTTGCAATTTTATTTGTTCAGAAATTTTTTAATTTTACCTCCTGAAGAAAAGATAATTTTCAAATTTTTTAACTTCATCTTCGCTTTCAATTGGTTTTCTAAAAACAATTTCTGATGATTTTTTCATCTATTAATGTTGATGGATATCGCTGTGACAATATTAGGAGAACATCCGATTTTTTTTTTTAAATTACGTTTGCAGTCACTGCTAAAGATGCAAAAACGTTTTTAGTCCTGCTTTTACAAGCGCTGTGGTTAGCAACTTTGCAACAGAGCTGATTCGCCATAATTAAAAGTATACACAAATGATGCTTTTGCATACTTTTAAATAAAACAAAATTTCGCATAGTTATTGCTTAAATAATTCAGATATATTTCTTTTTGGTATATCCACACTAACTTTCATTTTATTACTAGACTCAAAACAACTTTACTTAATTTCTTTGCAATCCTATTTTTTTCTTGTATTACTGTCTAGACAAGTAACATTCTTACTCGATAGTTTTAAAAATAATTTTAAAAATAAAAGTAGACTAGCAGTTAAGTTACAAAATTGTTTTACAGTATTTTATGAAAATAGTAAGGGAAGAAGGGAAAAACTTTTGCAATTTCTAGTAAACTTAAATCTATTGCATAACAGTGACCATTATTCTAATGCCACATTGGTCAAAGGGTAGCTAAATAAAAAAAATGGCGCAATTTGCATTTAAATTAATTGAAGGAAATTTCGTAACTTCAGAACCAATTATGAAAATATGCCACCATTTTGATGCCTAATAAAATGGTGAATCTAAATTTTGACCATATTGCGAATACTTAGAAACCTCAAGTTTTAACTGGTCCCTGAACTGAAATATCAAAAGTTAATTCATAAGATGAAGTATCAACAACTTAAAATTTTTGCATCGACAAAAAGGGAGTAATTTTAGTCTCCAATCTTAATAGTTTAAAAACTTAAATTAGATCGATCGCAAAAGTGACATTATTGGTTTAGCATTTCTTAGTTATTATGAAAATACAGTTTAACTAACAATATAAAAAGAATAAACATTATGACCTGCTTTTGAGAAACTGAACCAGTAACATCTTTGTTTCAACCGGAAGGCACTTTGAAGCTCAATTATTCAAATGGTTTCTTAGTCAAGAAGAAGTTCTGTAAGAAATAACAGACACTTTAATTTGCTATAAAATTTTAGAAAGTTTAAACTAGCTTAGATATGACTGCACAATTTAGGAAACTCAGCTAAAATTAACGTAGAACAATCGATAAATTAAGAATAAACTGAGAAAATTTATAAACTGAGAAAATATTACACGTGTTTAACTTTTTAAACTTTGAATTATTTTATGTTTGTTACAATATCAAATCGTGATCATATAATCAATAATGAAATTAGCGGTTTTACACTTATTAGCACAGAAATAAAATTATAAAAATTCCAACTACATTAAATAAATGACAAATTACCTGCAAATTGGCTTAAAAGTTTTGTCGGTATACATAGTTAATAACATATTTATAATTTACAGAAAAAGTACATTATTCATTTTAGTGTTAATTAGGAGCTTACATTTTATAGACTTGAAGCACAAATAGAAATGTAAATATTTTCTACGTAAAAAAAATTATGTAACGTTTGAGCTACAAACTACGTTGCAATCAAATTATAATACATAGTTAAATCACAATTAAGTTTGTTACGTTCCAGCTACTCAAATGAAAAATAGTAACTGATGACTAAATTACCCATTTTAAAAACGTTAAGACTCATTCATTCATTCATTCAAGAATATATATTAAAGATGAAGAAAAAGAACTCCAAAAATTAGGTTTAATCACAGCAATGACAAAATAAACCAATAAACGGTTCCCAAGTGACTAGATATAGACGATCGGGATTTTTAAACTTTTTATTAAGACCAAAACTTGCGAAATAGATATTTAAAGTTTTTAATTAATAGATAAAATCTTTATATTAATAGATAAAAAGTCTTTTAATTAATGGATAAAATCTCTTGAAATTTGAGGCTGTTGCAATTAAAATCTTGTTTTGAACCTGTATAAATTAATTCAGCCTAGAATCTCTCCAATTAACTCCCGTCGACAATAAGGAAATTCTACAATAATTAAACACACCATAATCATTATACAATAATTTGAATTAAATAAATCATGAATATAACAGAAACCTAAGCAAATTGTACAGATAGCTTAAGCCATTCATTTATCTAATAGATAATCTAAAACTAAATATGTAAAAACTGAAAAATTTTCTAGCTTTAAGAAAAACTCATCAATAAATAAAATTTAAATTTTATTCAATAAATATTTTAGAAAATTTTCTTATTATTAAACAAAATTGCTTTCCCATTTAATTTAAAAGTAAAATCTTACTATCCAGTTTTTATTATATTACGTGAAAACGCTTTCCGAGAAATTTCTATTTTTATTAAAATAATTTAGTTCTAGAGTGTTATTAAAAAGTGCAGCATTTTAGTGAGACATAAAATTTACTTTCAAAAGTTACGTAACAGAGGAGAAAATATATTAATCAAAAGTTAATAACACAGAAACTTAACAAAATCGAAAATTTAGAACAATAAGTTTAAGTGTAATAAGACTAAAGTGAAATGACATTTTAAAAGAAGTATTCAACTGTACTGATTTGGATGTTCGAAAACTTTAATTAAACAATCCTATACACTACTAAATAACCAAGAATATAAATGAAAGTAAACTTACTAGTGAGATAAATTACACAACGAAGAAGAAAACTACCATCCGAAGTTAGAATATAACCACAACACATTTTCCCTTATGACTTAAAAGATTCAGTATTTACTACAAAAAAAAAAAAAATCCCAAAGATGAATCGCTTTTATAGAACGACTACTGCGCGTGAGAACGTTTCCGTCCACTGCTATTTTTTGTTGTTGTTTACTTTCAAATATATAGAGATGCCGGGGCCGAGTGGTATCGCTGGCCAAACGATGTGCAAAGCGTGGAGGTAGCGGGTTCGTAACCCTGGATGTCTGTCTTTCTAATTGACAAATGCCTAAATTGAGCCTGTATGTAATTTCAATAAAGATATGCTAAATTAGAGCCTGGAAGGAGTATCAACCTCCCACGAAATAATCAGAAGCGTCGAGGTTAAGAGTTCGAGTTCGAACACACCCTTTTTGGATTTACATACATTTGCAGGCCTGCGTGCTCAATTTAGGCTTATAAATCTTTGTCAATTAGAAGCACAATACTCAGAGGGACGTCCCGCAGTGGACTGATCGTTAAGACATGGTTCCCAGCAGATCACCGAAGTCAAGCATCACTGGCTACTCACGAGTTCGGTCCTGGTCACGNATCCCCTTCGCAGAGGATCAAAATTGTGATGGCATGTCTTCGGATCATCCTCCGGGATGTTTCCCAGACCGTCGCCAATAGCCCATTGTGCAGCTCTAGTGCGACGTAAATTAACAACAAACAAACAAACAAACTCAGAGGGACAGCACGAAGATACAACCAGGGTAACAGCGGGATTCGAACCCTCTATCTCCACATTTTTCTTTAGAGGATTTCTTATGAATCAAGCGACTTTGCATCTGATAATGTAAAGACACCGAAAAGGAAAACAAATTATGTAGTTATATTTTGAATGCGGAGTCAGAATGCTAAGTAATAGTGATTACTGAAATATATATTATTAAAACTATAAATTTTATTTAATATAGTATAATAGTTATTTTAATATTATTTACTAATTGCATATTTTTTAGGGTACAGACCATAGCAATTATTTTTCTTTTAAAAAAAATGTCTCCTCTCTGTCAATTTCTTCCGAAACAAGAACTTTTTCTAACTAAGCAAAGAGTTGCTCTAGTTCAGTTCCCTACTCCCCTCACTTTCCCCTTTTCGGTAATCGCAAATCTTACTTTTCTTATATTAGTAGTTTTCAATAGGGCCGGAATAGCCTGGTTGGTAGGACACTGGACCCATGTCCAAGAGGTCGCGGGTTCGATCATCGCCGGCCGAAGACTCCCCGTGTAGTAAATGGTTATTGATGCGCGTTAAATCTGTCGAGTCTCAAAGTCCTCCATGTTCCCATAACAAATCATATCTCTGGCGGTACTGATTCGAGGAGTTTCCTTGTATTCTGGATTGGGTTCAAAAGTACAAGGCTACGGAGTTGAACATTATTAGTCGTGAATCAAAAATTGGTTCGGCCATTCAGCGACTGTTATAAAATAAAAAAAAAATAATACGGGATAACAACTAAAGCCATTTTGCCGGATAAATTTTGGAGGCTGATTTTAAGAATATTATTTTTTGAGTCGTGGCGACTCAGGGTGGCGTTTGCCTTCTAATGAATCGGGGTGAACCGGGTTCGAATCCCACCGATGTCTGGTCGATTCGAATTTCGCACCCGGCTCGCACCGACCACAGTGCTGACGTAAAATACCCTCTTTGGTAGACGGATCATGGGTTTGAGTCCCTATTCCCTCAGGCTAACCATGAGTGGTTTTCATTTTATTTCATAAAATAAAATAAAAATTAGTGTTCAATAAGAATTTAGAATGCACTGGCATAAAATTTAGAATGCATGCGCTTACATAAAACTAAAAAAAAGTACATAAATACGTTGATATGCAGAAAAATGTTAACATGTTTTAAATTCTTTCATTAACCCCCGAAAGCAGACAGGTGTTTCGCATAATATGCCCTATTCAGAAATGTATAGCATTTGGAATAATGCGAAAATAAAGCTGAATTCTAGATGCTTCCATTAACATTTTTATGTATGTTTATGAATGTTATACTTTTATATGTGTGTTTTTGTTGTTTAATTGCTTCACTTTATTTTTATTTCACAATCCTAGTGATTCACTAAGGAAAGCGCGAAATCTTTGGGAAAATTACTGTGTTTATCTTCATTAAAAAAAATATGTAGTATATTACGTATAATGCGTTGAATTGTTATGTTGATTTATTTCAAAGTTCGATAAAATAAATAGCTCCTTGTATTAAAATGGATAGCAATTTACTGAAAACGCCGAAAACACAATTAATCTCTGTTTCTCATTTAAGAGAGAAAATATAAAAGTGTTGTTACATATATACTAGAGACCGGAAAATAAATTAAAAGCAAATGAAGCGAAACCGTTCTCACCTTTAAATCGCTTTTTAAACAAATTGTGATAATTAATTTTTTTGTGAAATATGAAATTCCAGACAAAATTATTTTTCTGATCTAGCAGTATTTTCTAATAAAATTAAAAATGGAGTACGTAGTAAACCAAATAGCACTCCATTTTTAATTTTATTCAATTTCCAATGACTGTATATATATATATATATATATTCAAATGTCCACGTAT